TACCTTTCTTATTTTTCCATAAATCAGCTGCCTGTGTATTTAAAGGGTCACGTAAATTTGGATCTGTTAAATGTGTAAAGAAATTAGTGTTGTGCATGACTTTCATGTCTAACGTTTTGGTATGTTTACCTCCAAGTAGACTCTGTAGAGATAAAAGCAGTGTTCTAACAGTAAAGGTCGATACCCATTTATCCTGAAATAAGTACAGCAAGGAAATTCATTCAGTATTAAAATTATTGAATATTACTACAGGTCTTCTGGTGAATAACTCTACCTTGGTGAGAATATCCARACAAATATTTCCTTTGGTGTCTACATTAGGATGGTAACAAGGCGTTTTAAACTTTACTGTTGGAGCTTCATAAGGATATTTGTCAGTAAATTCAATTGTTAGTTTGTACTTCAGACCTTCATACACCTAAAAATAGAAAACAARTTACATATTAAAAGATGCTCAAGCTGTTCTTTAGGGCATTATAGTACAAGATAAATTTCTATTATAGAATCATGAGGCCTAGCCTCCTTTAGTAGCCGCCCCTGTGACGTCACGGCTACTAAAGKATGAGGCCATACCCTCGGGCTGTAGACAGGCTTCTGCCAGACACTGACWTCATCTGGACAGTATCTTCAAAGGCATCAACACCACTGAATGTTGATGCACGACGATTAAAATTACATTCACCAAAAAGATACCTGATTGAMATATTCTGTATCGGCYSTCGTAAAACATTTTTTAGATTTAGCATGACCAGCAAATTTCTTCTTCCTTGGAACATGATGTTAAGAGGARTATATACTAATAATGAAGTGAAAAACTCTTCTTTACCGTTTCTTTTACWCCTGTGATAGTTGCAACCCAATGTAACATATCGCATGATTCAGGAAACGCTGATATAGACGGATCTTCCTGTAAAATAGCAATCAACAAGGATGAATAGACAAATTCTAAACTAAATCAAACTGTTAAATTCTTACCGAAAACACCAGTTCCTTCAAATCCTTGGATAATCTGAAAAACAAATGAATTTACTTAAAGCTTCATGAAATGTTTTCTTGTACATCCTAACCAAAATGTAATCTTTACGATTGCTTTTCCCGAGATTCTCTTCTATAAATTCAAATACATCACATTGCTTGAAAGGGTTAATACCTAGGAATTCCAGAAGCCATTATTTTTTGGAGTTTTGTTAAAAATAACGATAGAATATCAACAAATCTTCCCTAGAATCTTTCTTGAGTGAATGGAACGCTCGAAACAACTCGTTCAACTTTTAAATTTTGTTCGCTTTTTGAATCAACCAATCAGGTTCGATTATACTGAACAAATTGGCCAATCAAATCATGCCAGAGCTCATTAAAAATCTAACCCATAGATCTTAGCGAGTGTAATTACCCATGAGGCCTTGAGAGCTAGCTAGCGCCATTTTGATTCGAAAGTGTGAAGACTTGTGGAGTTGTTGTATGTTTTGATTAAAAGCATGCCTTACGCTAACCAGCCTAGTGTGCGAATCACCGAACTAACAGATGAAAATGTCAAATTTGTTGTTGAAAATACAGATTTAAGGTAGGCTGAAGTCGATGCTGCTTGCAGCGTTTTCACTTTGAGTCGTTTTGTGTAATGTCAAGTCTGATTAAAAACTCCTGTTCATAATGTTTAAAAACCATTGATATTTTGCTGCTTTTGTGATTAATGTTTTTCAGTATTGCAAATAGTCTTAGAAGAATATTCATTGCCGAAACACCAACAATAGGTATGTTTAGACAATTTGGTCACCCTGTGTCTTTTATTGTTGGTACCTGATAATGAACAAACTTTTTCTCCAATAGCAATAGATTGGGTTCAAATAGAAAATAACACATCAGTCCTTCATGATGAGTTCATTGCTCATAGACTTGGTGAGTATAATGAATCAAAAATATGCAGAATAATTTCAGTAATAAGAATAGCTGCGTACTCAGCTACGTTGAAATTGATTAAATKTTTCCTGTTACTGATATTTTTTACAGGTCTGATCCCTATAACCAGTGATGAAGTGGTAGAAAGAATGAGCTTTTCCAGGGTATGAAAACTAAAATGAGATGTTTTGGTTTTTAAACATTTCACAGCCATTCTCGTCACAAACTACAGAAGATTAGCACTTAGTTACAGAGTTGGTAATATTTTTAGTGATACCTTGYAGTAATAAAACATTGTTATTTTAGGACTGTACTTGTGATGAGTTCTGTCAAGACTGCTCTGTAGAGTTTACATTAGATGTAAAATGTACAGATGAACAAACAAGACACGTTACTACCAGAGACCTCATGTCCTCAGATCCTAGAGCAATCCCAGTAAGTATACTGTACTAAGTATTAATTTTTCTATTGACTTCCATTTTTTTGCCTTCTTTTGAGGTTTACATAACAGGTATTGAGCCCAAAATGTTCTACTTCCTAGATGTCCTAAATGGTTTGCTTGTTGTAATTGTGTTTGTTTATTATGTTATTGTTTATTGTAGATAACATCAAGACACAAAGAGGATGACACTAGTGAATATGGGGAACAAGATGGTGATTAATAACCAGTATTATTGCACTGTTATCAGCTAATAACTAATATATTTCTGCGTGCTACTAGATATTCTAATAGTTAAGCTAAGAAAGGGACAAGAACTCAAACTGAGGGCATTTGCTAAAAAGGTAAAGAAACCATTTTGTACATGAAACTTTGATTTGTGTTTTGCAAGCCACTTTCTATTGTGGATACGTGCATGGTTTTATGGTTTTATTAACAGTTCAATGTACAGGTTCAAATAGGCATCAGACATACTGTTAATGTATTTATAGTGTCTACTTATATAAGTTATAAGTTAAGCCGCCTTGATTATGTACTATTAGTATGRTCTACTTAGACATATATACTGAATATTACTTACCATAAGTGCCATGTTTAGATAATTAATCCTATTGGTCAAACTATATTTCAGGGTTTTGCTAAAGAACATGCGAAATGGAACCCAACAGCTGGTGTGGCTTTTGAATATGACCCTGACAATGCTCTTAGACATACCACATTCCCACGACCAGAAGAATGGTAATTAAAACTATATACTGCTTGAAAATATTATGGTCCTCACATAGTACTTAACAGGACTAATCAGTAGTGCCAGTCGGATAATAGGATTTAGTAAGTTAGTCTTATTAGGACAAAACTGAAAAAAATGTATTCATAATAACATTGTTAGACTAAATAATTTCAATACTGACTACTGTTGTATTGATTTTTAGGCCCAAGAGTGAATACACACAGCTTGAAGATGACCAGTGTAAGTGTTGTTGGCAAAGTCACCAAAGTCTCTCATTAGCTTCATTGGAATTCCTCTTGATAATAAGATTTGTAATAAATGGCTGAGGACTAGGGTTTTATTACATGTMTATGATTTAATGTTGAATTTCAGACCAAGCACCATTTGACCCTAATGGTAAACCAGACAAGTTTTATTACAATGTGGAAGTAAGTTGTTAAAAATATATATATTAATAAGTGTCAATTTGTAAAAGCTATTATAAAATACATGTATAGTAGAAAACTGTCTACTCACTGTTAGTCATATGAGGAAGGATAAATTGCTATATTAAATAGTCCATGAGTGGTTGTACATGGTRTGTTGATGGCTCAAGGTTGCATTCAGCTGACTGTAGCTGACAATCTGTCACAGATTAATGTCATTTTTCATAATAATGTCTATTGCTTTTTTAGAGTTGTGGATCATTGAGACCAGAGAATATTGTATTATCAGGACTTGCTGTATTCAAGAGAAAGCTGAGTGATTTGCAAACACAACATAGCCATGAAGTTGCTGCTGATGTGTTGACAATTTAACTAAGAAGAAACMTCCAAAACCAGTAAACTCTGTGTACTGGTAACTAAAATACAGATTCTGCAGAAACATAATTATTACTAAACATTTTGAGTACAATAAGCAGTGCTGAATGGAAACACTAAAAAAAGCAGCAAATAATTTGTCTCTCCTACCCTCAGGGGATAATATTATTATGTATGCCTCCCCCTGTCAAATAACATAGGACATACTAGATGTAAATAAAMCAATTGAAAGCAAAACTGTAGTTCAATAAACATATTTCACTTTTGATCAGTTTTCCTTATTTAGTGTATAATTYACATACTATTTTACAAAATATAATTATTAAAAAACACATTTTACAATAAAATATACTACATGTAAGGACTATAATCATCTATCTGCAATCCCTATTTGTGATTGGAATTGTTCTTTTAACTCGCTTGCTTCTTTCTTTAGGCTATGAAAAAAAAACAAATTATCAGTCCACAATTTGTTTTTAGTATTATTGATAATCAATGAACTTACTCTTCTAGCATGTTCAGAAAAAGACCATGGATTTCATGGATAGTAAGATCTACTACCTCRCTAAGGTTGTACTAAATAAATCAAATGCAATGTTAGTACATAATCTACCAATAGTAGCCCTGATTCAGGAATATCTGATAGTAACGTCCAAAAGACAAGATTTCCTCACTCAAACTTRATGTACATTTTGGCTTTAATATCCTGCCATTGGTTATCAAACTGTCTCAATCATGACAAAATGTGAAAATCTTACAGAYATTTCCAGATTTTAGCTCTACCTTGGCCACACTTGCTTGTCGTCTAAAGTAACAGCTCCCTTCCTCATCTTGATACACAGGATGTAGATTAATCTTGTAASTGCCATCRTTGTAGGTTAATGTTGGTTCCGTGAAGGGATGAATGGTGATTTCTATCACATATTCTTTGGATAATATGCCCTTCAAGAAAACAACACCGAAAAATAACTTTTGGTAAAGGGATGTCTCCTAAGATCATCATTTATTTGATGAATGTTTGATTTTATTGAACTAGTCTGCTAAGTGTTAATAGGTTTATTAATATAATATTTCTCACAAAGTTAAGTACACTGATGGAACAATCAAGTCATGTTCTTTAAARTTCCATTGTTTCACTAGCCAGTAATAAATAACTATTAGTTTAATCTTTTAATTTATTACTTGTAGTTGTAAATACCTTTGAATAATTTTCAGCGGCTATTTCATCACACCAGCAGTACTTTGATGTTCGTAGCAAGTGAGGTTTTAACCTATTTGGATCTACTTTAGGACTGATAAATAAGTCAAACAGGTTAATGAACAAGGTAAAACACAGTTGAATGAAATACAAGACAGCGACATCACCTGTTTGATTTATTAATTGTCACATCACTTTTCCACATGTCTTCTTTTGGTATTACTGGAACAATTTCAATCTGAAATAAATAAAAGCATTTAAAAACCTGGAACTCTATACACCAACACCACCTGTTTTTACTTTATTAGTTCTTTTTTTCTCTACAAGGAAATGCATTATCAAAACAAAATTTAGGTAAAATTTCRTACCTTGTATTTATTTTCTGGCACTTGTGGGGTATACCGAGACATGAGGTCTTTCATAGACACAAATATGTGGTCTTTCTTCACAAGATATAATAATATTAGAAATATATCAACAATTAACAGATGATTAAAATATGAAAGTCAGGGATAAGCAGGCCATAGCAGTCATTATCATGTACTAGTACCAAGACCCGATGCTCAGACAACACCTTTAAGAAAGTTTAGGGATAATAATGATTACATTATGCTCATGTTATAGGCCAAATATTACATGAACTCAATATAAACTCAAGATAAGAACTTTGAYAAATTATGTTTTGGATAACATGCACTTATCTACCAACCTGGTAATCACATAGTGGAATCCCTTTAACTTTGCCTTCATCGACAATGCCAAGGTATATGACACCTCCTTTTCCAGTATTCAAAAATGCATTTATGTTTCTAAAAATTGCATTCATACCATCCTTTAGTATTTTGCCATAAAGCTTATAACAGGGGATGTCCAGTAAGAAAGGGTTGMTATACCTAGATACTGCTTTCCTAGATCTCCTGTCAGTTCCTGGAATCCAGCACCAGTCTGGAACTTCTTCAACAGCAAAATTTCTATGTCCTTTAAATTCATTTTGACTATCTTCTTCCACTGGGAGAATATGGTCTTTTACATAAAACCTTTTTTGGGTGTTTTTAGAGGACATTCTGTAAGTTTTCCAGCTGTGAAATGTCAAAATGTCAGTCCCCTCAGATAAACGTTATAAAAACATTGCATGCATTACAGTTGAGCATTAAACTATTAGATATATACTACAATGATTCAACTTCCAATCGTAAAAATAGGATAAAGCTTTCAAACACTAAAACTAGAGTTTCACATCTAAACATTGGACAACTGCTGTTCAAACTCGTGCCAGGCCTTCTCGTTTGGGCTGGTATTGCCTCGATCTGGCGAATCTGGYTTCTTCTACCTCGATGCGCGAGGCCGCCATAAAGTAAGGCAAGATTTGGGGCCGATTTTCGACAGTTTTTTGGGGTAAAACAACCATTTTGCATCTTTATAATAKCCTTTAACTATTAGCTTTATTTAGACAGACAAAATTATCCATTATATTTGTGCTAGAACKTATCAAATAGGTACATTTAACTATCAAAAAGTCCCTGGAGTTCGCTTGTATTTGTGAAGAACGAGGCTCTAATTTSTCTGAGATGGCGTCTTTTCTCTCCAACGATATCGGTACATTGGACTTTTTATTGTTATAATTATCTTTTTGTGTCAWTTTTTCAAAGGGTCCCAAGTTCTTGTTGCTTCAAGGGTCAATTTAGTAGCTAGAAAGCCGCTAAATCGGACTGCAAGCATGGCTGCTACTGCAAGAGCAAGAGTGTATGCTGATGTGAATGTCCATCGCCCAAGAGAGTATTGGGACTATGAATCTCATGTTATTGAATGGGGGTACGTCTTATTTTTCCTTAAATGTGTTCTCAGTATTGTTCTTGAGTAAATTATATTTTAAGTAACAAAATTTAGATGTCTAAGAAAGGAGTTTGAAGCAACAATACAAAGAACATGTTATCTAGTACATTTTTGTTCGACTTTTTGTGACATTGTGCATGCAGATTGCTGAACTCCTGAATCTATTCCTCCAAGACACTTTTCTTTAGGTACTGTACATTTATATTGCAACACAGACAACGAGTAACCTATGTTGCACTTTGAACGAAAATGACTGGCACATTCYTCAAAATGTTGAAATATGATATGAAATATTTTATTTCTGAGAATAATCACAAAGATAGTGTCAATTCTACATTGTGTATCTAGATGRTATAGTGTCAGACAAGGGATGACTTCTTTGGTGTGTTCACTGTACAGGACCAWGGAAGTCAACAGTACACTTTTACACAATATTCCTAGAAACAAAAAACTTGAAATTCATTTTTCTTTTCCCATAAATTGCCATTCATGCTGCAGACATTGTTGTTCTGGTTTTCCATAGTATATTATACCAAGGGATTTTCAAAAGCTAATCAAATATTCTAAATTTAACACTTCGTTGCCTTGACATTTAACATATCACAACAAACCCCTCAAAAAGCTTCAAAATTTAACAGAATCTTTGCAGAACTTTAATATCCAATTATCCACAATTATCCACAATTGCATATMTTGAAGAAACTGTTAGTTGTAGTTGAGTGTATTGTGTGTGTGGAAGCTGTGTGCAGTTTTGTTGTGATGTGAATGTGTGGGTGATTTGCCCTGTTTGTCATCATGAATTTTTTATTAGTCTTTCGTTATGTTTTTGAGTAAATKYGAACTGACATCAGCAATGTCTGAATGATTRCCTTGTGATGATTGCAGGGTGTATTACAAAGTGAATTTCCTCTCTTTTTTAAGTGCTTTTTATTCAGAAGGAATGTTTATTCCTTCAATATTAACRATTTTGGTATGTTATAGAGTAGACAATATTATTATTTTTTATATTGACTTCAAGAAATAACTGGTATTTTATTAGGTGAAGAAGTGATATATTTRCATGTGAAAATAACATGTTACCATAGACACTSTGTACAAATTGTCCTATTTCTTKACTTATAGAGAGTTACATGTATATAATAAAAACTACAAGGATGCTTAGAGATATGTATTTTACATCTCGTGTTAAATTGATATGTCATTCATTTGCTTCACTCACTGGTGAGATATCAATCAAACACTTAAAGATAGAATACATATCTTAACTTCACCATGTAATATTCTCTATGCACTGCTATCATTTTGGTATCACTTTTTCTTTGCCTTATTTTATTTCACTTGTAGGTTAAATTTTCTGTTGATTGTGAAAGACTAGTAAGGCTTATATAGTAGTTAGTTACAGTAGTACTTTCCATGCATTGTTTTATTTGTTGTTAACTACTACTTACTAGTTAAGTAGATAGTCTTTTTTTCTTTTCACTGTTGATGGAAAACCATAAGTAGTGTGTTTTAAATACATTTAGGAAATACTAAATCCTTCATCTTAAGTGGGCCATCAATTAYGATAAAAACATTTCCTTTTTCTAAGAAAATACATTAAGTAATGAATATTGTCCCATTTGGACATCATAAAAAGTTCAAAATAATATAACTTATGCACAATTTTGTATTTTTCTGTCCTTTAAAATATTTTATATTCAATATTATTTTATTAAAGTAATTCCAATAGGATTGTTTTACTTACGTTTTTGTTGTTTTTACATGATAACAATGCTCTTGTCAATTAGTTTGGTATCCCATGGTCTTTAGGAGCAATAAAGTCATAATAATAATCATAATGTCAGTGCTACCCTTTGTTGTTTGAATATAAATTCATTTATTAAAGATGTGCATTTTTATGATTCCAGTCAACAAGATAACTTTGAGTTGGTGCGTAAATTAGGAAGAGGAAAATACAGTGAAGTGTTTGAGGCTATTAACATCACCAATGATGAAAAAGTGGTTGTCAAAATATTAAAGGTATGTAGAAATCTTAATATAGCTGAGGAAATTATATATTTATTGTTGTTGGCTTTAACTTGTAGAAAGCATTTTGTTGTACATATTGTTGTGATAGTGTTATTGCCGTAGGTTTGTGTACATATTGTTGTGATAGTGTTATTGCCGTAGGTTTGAAATGTCTTAGTGAGAAAATTGGAAACATGTGAATTAATTTTTTAATTTTAACTTTACATGTATTTTTCTTTAGCTAGTATAGTTTAACTTAAATATTAAAAATATTGCTTATGTTGATACTTGGGAAGTCTAATATTTTTGAAGTAAATTGGTGTTCAATGTTTCATCTCATTAGCCTGTTAAAAAGAAGAAAATAAAAAGAGAAATTAAAATTTTGGAAAACTTGAGAGGTGGACCTAATATAATCAGTCTTTTGGATGTGGTAAAGGATCCTGTGGTAAGTTATTGTTATTCCAGTTACCTGGAAAGTAATGTTTTTACTACTTGCATAGACTACTAAAGATTGTGGCTATTACTTATGGCTGTCTTTTATTTATTTCTAGTCCCGAACACCAGCATTAATCTTTGAATATGTTAACAATACAGATTTTAAGGTATGACATCTGGTATTAATTTAGAATAGTCAACAATTTATTTATTGGTACATTATTACCTTACAGCAATTATACCAGACATTCACAGATTTCGATATCAGATACTATCTCTATGAGCTGTTGAAGGTAAGATGATCAAAGATGTTGTAACAAGGATTAGCTTGACTCATTAGTTGTGTGTTTGTTGGACAGGCTTTGGACTACTCACACAGCATGGGAATCATGCACAGAGATGTWAAACCACACAACGTAATGATAGACCATGAAAAWCGAACGGTGAGTGCAATAAATATTATATCACAGTTGTCAAAGACACATATCAGATAAAGATTTGTAGCTGTTTTTGGGTTCTTTTGAGATTTACCTTTAGAATAACATTGTTATCTCATGATCTCTTACAGTTAAGACTCATCGACTGGGGTTTAGCAGAGTTTTATCAYCCTGGTCAGGAATATAATGTACGTGTGGCTTCACGATATTTCAAAGGACCAGAGTTACTAGTGGATCATCAGGAATATGATTACTCACTAGATATGTGGAGTTTTGGATGCATGTTGGCTAGTATGGTGTGTATACTGCTTCCATCCTTCTTCATTAGTTTAAACCCTTCTTAACTTTTATTGTGATATATTTGATCAGTGATTATAATATTGATCATGTATGTTTTCATTTCCAGATTTTTAGAAAAGAACCTTTYTTCCACGGTCATGATAACTATGACCAGGTAAAGCTTAATAATCAATTGTTTATTTAATATTAAGTTGTTGGTTCTAATTCATAATGATCTTTATTATAGTTGGTAAGAATTGCTAAAGTTCTAGGAACAGAAGACCTTTTTGACTACATTGAGAAGTACCGCATTGAATTGGATCCTAGATTCAATGACATTTTAGGAAGGTAATGTTGTTTTGTATTGCTTGTCTGTGATTGACAAACAGCAGAATCTGGTTGMGTTCTTAATGGCTGACAATCAATTCAGTGTGCTGGCATTATGGACAAAGTCAATTGCTTTTTTGTTAGCTAAGGCTGTAAAARTGTCTAACCAGGCTAGCAATGCATGGAACCTTTCTTTACAAAATGACCATAAAACACTCAACCCAATCTGGTATAATATCTCTGGCTTTCCTTCATAATTGCTATTTTTCTTTACAATAAACATTTAAAATTGTCAAGGTCTAGAGCAGAASAAAGAGTAGGTGGCTAGCATATGTACAAGATTGATTGCTGATGGTGTTGTTTCCGTATCTTGTTTATTGATGGTTTACAGGCATTCAAAAAAGAGATGGGAACGTTTTACACATGCTGAAAATGAACACTTGGTTAGCCCAGAAGCGCTTGATTTACTGGACCGTCTACTAAAATACGACGTCCAGGTACAGTGTATCTCATTGATTTCATTTCATTTCTTACAGCCATTCTAAAAAGAAATGGGAACGATTTGAACACACTGAAAATGCTCATCTTGTTAGTCCAGAGAGCTTTGATTTACTGGAAAAGCTACTAAGATATGATATACAGGTATCCCATACTCACACTGCTTTACTGTAATAAACCAGTAATACCCACTAATAATAATTAATGTGGTGGTAATGCTTGATGGTACTTAAGRTAAATTAAGTTAGGGGTAATACCAACACTTAATTGACAGAAATACACGCRAAGCAATGCATTCAAAACAATATGCAAGAATTCATTAACATTAATGCTRCTGTAAGTAAATGCAATAAATGCTCTAAGTCAGTAAGCAATTAGGCTGCAATAAGACGCAGTATCATACAAGACGTTTTTAACAAACATTAAATCAAAGCAAAAACAGGTAATGTGATGAAGGTTTCACATGGCGAAACTCTGGCACAACTACCTCATTCAGATGAACAAATGCATTGTATGTTAAGTTATTGTGTGCATTGAYCTCTTGTAATTTCAGGATCGTCTAACTGCAAGGGAAGCAATGGAGCATCCATATTTTTGTAAGTAGAAACATGAAACGGAAAAAAATCTGTGACAATGTTTACTGACATAGTTATGATAGCTAACATGCTATATGACTGTAACTATTATTAATGATATTATTATCGTCATCATCATCATATTTGCGTTTACCACTGTTATGTTCTGTCAATGATTCAATTGTTATTTTTGTGCAGATCCTGTTGTAAGACAAGAGCAACAACGACTGGCATCAGGTCAGGTACCCAGTTCTATGAATTCACAAAACATGGTAGGTTCCTCAGGACAGGGCTCACCGCTACCACCATCATCTATCTCACCATTGCCAAATTCCACACCGACCTGACAGAATCATGATATCTAATAATGTACAAAGCTGGGCTTGTTACATCCAAAGAAATGTGGTTTCAGTACTACCAACGTATAAACATTACACAGAATGTGAATGCTGCTCAAATATATGGATTAATATTATCTAATATTAATATAATTTTTGCTGTTATGATTAGTATAAGCTCAGTCAATCAAACAGCAAATCATGATCAGACCAAACATAGTTTGAGAGTCGTTCACAACTGATTAAAATCTCAGTACAACTCATATTACTATATGACAACATTTCATGACAAAGACAAGTTGTTTCCAGTCATATTGATACAACTATGCCTTTAAGATGTGATGTCTTTGGAATCTTTGTATTAAATATTGAACTTWCAGAGTTTACTCAGCAAATAGGATGGTTTTCATCAACCCTTCAAATGATGTTCATATCAGAGTGTTTATTGTTAGYTAATTTGATTTATACTAAGTGTGTTCTGTGGGTTTTTGAAAACTGCTCTGAACTTTGAAAATAAGCAGCAATGGCTTGTAGTAGAAATAGTTTCAGTGAGTATGGTGGTTCTGTTGATTGTTGTCATTCTACAACCRACATKGCTGCCTGTGAGCTCAAGATATGATAGAAAAACAGCAATTACATTCTACATTATTGTAAAGACTGACCTAATATTGCTACCTCAGTTACTTTTGTAAAGTCTCTTTAGAGAGAAAGTATTGTCACATGTTGAATGTAGAGCTATACGACAAGTATATTTATCAATGTTACAATAGGACCATCAAATAGTCACAACCACAACACTTTGTGCTCAACAAAGTAAAAATTACATGTATAATACAAATATATAAACTCATCAGATGTATTATTTGCAATTGATAAGAGCACAGACATGTAGAAATATAGCCATATCTGGTTTATATACATTATTTTCTAAGTAATTTTAACATTTTGGTTTATTGCAAGCATCATATCAAACTTTTTAGAATAGTCACAAAGTCAACTCACTTTCTCCATTGTGTATTCATATCTATATATTATAATGATCTTGCAATGTTTTAATCAGTTGTTTTGGTAKACTAAGAAAACTTGCTATTTTAGTGTATTTACTACAGGTTTACTAAAACAACTTAGTGTTAATTTATTCATAGACTATAGAGCTGGCTATTTTGTCTCTTTTTCAAAATAGTATTAGTTCAATTTCTGAACAAGACTAAATAAAAATATCTTAATGCACTTCCTGGAGTAACTTTTCTGACACTGGAATATAATGCTGATATAGGTAAATTACTTAATGCTGACTTTTTTTCATTTCCATTTTTATTCCTTCCCTTTTCCCATATTTTAAGATGCATCCCTTTTCCCATATTTTAAGATGCATCACCATTTTTGGATGTTAATAACTATTTTATTGTAAATTGTAAGACAAAGATTGACAACAGAACAGAGCATCTGATGATGATGATAGGTCTGCATGCGCCTGATGGGACTCGGCCTTATCTTAAATACCAGGGACCATGAAGCTAGGAGGGTTATACCACTCCTTATGTTGCTTAGAAAACAAATTTTGAAGTACATGATTATCTCTTATTTTTAAATCTGCTATTTATTTCAATGCTACACCACCCAACGGGGAATGGTCTCCAAGTTCCCTGAATAAAGTTTCATTCATTTCCCAACATGTCAAACAAATGTGTATCTTCCTGTGCAACATCCATCTATGCTTGTTATTTTAGCCTTTKTTCTCAAAATGTGATTTATCTGACGGAGGGTGACATCTTCAGGATTTTACTTTACATCAGTTGATGAGCTGGTCCTTCATCTCAAACCCAGCATCCCAAGGCATCTCAATCTTACTGTCCCATTTGTCTGTAATTGAATAAATGCAGAAGTGAATTGATGGTTGAACAATAAAGACACACRAYGAAATGTGACAATTTTGGCTCTTGAATCCAGACACTTGGATTATAATATGGTGGAATCCAGAATCTTCACGAAATTTTAGGAACTTGTAATGCGGATCCTGAGGAACACTCCTCTCTTATCACCAATCTAATTATCTATCAAMGGCTACTATTAATTGAATTAACATAACATTTGCTATTTACTAAGACTTATCAAATGATTGACTTTGCGCGATATTCCCGTGTGCTGACCTCCCAAAGCTAAGACGATTCCGTTGCGGCAGGGCCGTGAGTGCAGGACCCAAGCAGTGACGCAGTAGAAGAAATGTTATCAGATAAGATTAAACTGAGGTTATCGTGAATTACGTATGCATATTACCGCRTCGACGTACGTAGTAGTTAGAAGGATGTTAGAGGGAAGTTGTCATCTCAACCATTTCATCAGGCAGAAGACCTTCTAAAGTAATACACAGCTGGCGTTAGACAGAAATCTCCGTTCATTAATATTTAGATCGTTTAAAAACCCATATACATCCAAGAACTTCTGCGCGATTTTCTCACATACGAAAGAAAATACACCATCTTAGATTTTGAACCAATCAGAAAGCAAATAAAGAAACGATCGCAAAGGATCTTGGATACACGTGGGTTTTTAATAAAGCTTTTTTAATTGAGTTTGCGGACTTTTTTCGTGGAAAGCTTCCTGGAAATAGGTAACCTGTTGCAAAGATGTGTACCCCCTCTCGATAAGACTCTACACGACGGTAATCTCGTCCACCATATTGTATACMATCACTTCTACCAGTAATGCATAGCTTGGGTTATCATTAAAGATGAAAAATTAACTAAGATCCTGTGATAAGCCTTTTAATGTCAACTGCWAGGAGGCTACTTACCGGAATCTTTAATCGTATCTGACAGGTGGACACGACGAAAATGCTTGGCTGCACGAACGCAAAGTATGATGGTAATTAACGTGAACAAGGTGCATAATCCAAAGCCAATCCACGAAGTATTCTATAATTTTAGTGTAAAACATTGAATTAACAGGATAGCATAGTATGTGTTTGCAGCGTTTCTTACTTAACACACTATTAAACATACTTTTACATGTAATAAGCAACTCTGTCGAGGATTGTTGAAAGAAAGACACGACTACTTACCAGGTTTCCAAAGTAATCRCGACATACAGCAGTCGTGAGGGACTGGTATATATTGTTGATTGGGTGACAACGCCCTACGTCGTTATGAACCTGCGCAGTAGMAAGGAAGTAACATTAGCTTTTGATCAGGTGAACAGGGGCGGATTTAGTGGGAATTGTTGGATCCACCCCTGGTGAATCAAAATGATGGTTTGAAAGCCTTATGAGGACTGAATGATGTCGTATTGTAGTATTCAACAGTATATGGTGCTTGGTAGTCATCTTCAGTAAACCTCTGGTACAAGGAGTAGGCACTCGCGCCTCGAAATGATTGCTGCACCCCAGTTTTCGAACCGTCAGCTACATAGAACCATCTACCTACAGCATTCTTACTAAGTTACTTATGACATTCATCCTTAGCTCATGTGTTACCTTTGATATGACATGTTTTACCAAATGATCGACATCTTCAAGGATGGCATTAGCGTATTTCTCTATTCCCTGCAGTAAAACACTTTCGGTTAAAATCCACTTGACTCCTAGTCATTGATATCCGTTAAAAACATCAGTTGTTATATCACTCTTCTTGTATACCTGACGTGCTAAAACAGTGGCATTTATTTTTAAAAAATGCTCTACTTTTTCCAGTCCACGTTCTATTTCCTTCACAGTTTTCTGTACAAAAGAACATTGATAACCGTTATTCTTTTCTTAGCACCTTATTGTAAGGGTCGCAGAACATCACAAAAGTGAGAGGGTCCTAAAAGGTAAATTGGTAATTGGCCATGGGATACCCCCCTTCAGGACCGTCATCTGATGGTGCTTGTTTGCGCGCAATGTGCGATGTTGTTCTGGCACGGAAAAYCAAAACCGGTSTATTCRTGCAATCACTTGACAAAGAACTCACCACTATGACTTTAGCTTCTTTCATAAGCTTTTCGACATAWTCTTTGACTTTCTCCTGTTGGAAGAATTGTCAGGTAGTAAGTATATGACTGTTGAAAAATTCAGTGATGCATTTCAAGTTAATTTCTTACTGATCTAAATTGAGACGAATTGACGGTGGTATTTTCWAGATTCATCAAGTCATCAGCGATTCCTTCTAGTTTCTTCTTGAMTTYCTAAAAAGCACCAAAGACATAGTAATAACTCGTAATAACTACTAATAAATGTACCACAGGGTACCCACAAAGGACTCACTYCTKGTGTGTTATTGGCTGCTCTCGTGAGATTKTCGGCGAATTTGCTCAAAGACACTGTAACGATTGATTTATTCGTCTAAAAGAAAATCAGTAATAACGAAGGTAAGTCACYTTTTAAGAAATAGTTTGATAAATAGTAATTGATAGTTTAATCAAGAGTTTGGGATACCTGTTCGTTGAATTTAGTAAAATTAATATTTTGTATTCCCGCGTCGGACGAATCATTGATACTTTGTCTTGCTTTTGCCGTCATAACAGGTGTATTTAAGACAGTTTCATTTATTTCTTTGAATACTGTGTCTATTTTAGGGATTTTCTGAAAAATTAATCAAAGTGTCAAGCTACCAAACAGTCACATCAGTTAACCATTCTATTTATCCATCTGACCACCAACCAACCAACCAACCAACCAAGCAACCAACCAACCAACCAACCAACCAACCAACCAACCAACCAACCAACCAACCAACCAACCAACCAACCAATTCAGTAATCAATCAATCAATCAATCAATTAATCGGCCCGTTCGTCTATCAAATCACTGACTTACATCTTTGAAGTCCAATGCTGACGTTAAGTTATACAGGCTTTGGTCTAGATGCATGGCAGTCCACAGTCCTTTGCGTTTGCCACAATCRCTACAACAGACACAAAATAGCAAGGCATACAAAGATGATCTTATCTGGATATCGACGTTTGTACTTACGTTAGTAGACTCGTGAAAGTAAGGCTATTTTGGCTTTGACTTTCGTTAAAGATCAACTTTGATAATGAAAAGACATTCCTGACATTAGGGGAATCTACAGTCTGAACAAATAAATAAAAAAAAGTCCTGAATGCATGCCACCAAAGTTCTACAGTTGACTTTTTTTTAACGACCACTCTCGTAAGCGACCATCTCTCGTAAACGATCACTTTTTGCTGATCCCGAGGGGTTGGCCGCTTACGAGAGAGTTGACTGTAACTAATTTTGAAGTAAGGCTTACATTTTTTAAGAGTTCATAGTCGGGCATTGCTCTACAAACAATTGCTGTATTAACACCAACCAAAAACACTGCAGCAACTACAAGATTGATGAAAAACGCTGTAAACACAGCAAAACCCGCACTCCTAAAAGATTAACAAAACGATCTTATTAGTTTAAAAAAAGAAAAAGAGACGTACAAAAAAAAATAAAAAAAAATAACGATAAAAAAGTAACTTTCCCATGTCAATTGTTTGATATGCGGAAAAAGAAAGGAAAAAGA